GGCCCCTGCCCGCCCTGCCCGCGGCTCCGGGCTGCCTTTCCCCCGGGGGGATTTGGGGAGCAGAGCAGATCCGAGCCCGGGCGCGAAGAGGAGCCTTCCCGACCCCCCTTCTCGCTTTCTGAAGGGAAAAAGTACCTTGGGTTAAAAACCACAAGAACAATGAAATAAGGAAAAGTTTCACCAACTTTTTTTTTTTTTGCCCTGTTTTGATGAAGCTACCTGGCTCGGTTACCCAAATCCTCCTGCCAGTCCAGCGTCCTGTGGGCTCCATGTCTGTCTGTCTGTCTCTCTGCAACCTCTCATCTCCCCTCTCCAGCCCATCTCTGCCTGCCTCTGCCCGACAGTCTTCATCCCTCTGCGCTTACCCACCCATACGAATTTCCATGCAGCCCGCTGCCCATGGCGTTTCCTTCCCTCTCCTCCCTGCCCGCCACCAAGCCCGGATCCTGTTGCTGCAAAAAAGCGTGGAGGTGAAGTCTGGTGGTTGCATGCTGGACTGGGGGGGGGCTTCGCAGCCCCCCAGGTGCTCCAGCTGCTCCCAGCCCTGCCGAAAGGCGGGTGAGAGGTGCGACAGGCAGCAGCACTGTCAGCCCAGAGCAGGGGGACTGATGGAGGAGGAACCCCAGCGCCTGCTGGAGGGGGGGAAGGCGGCCGTGGGGTTGATGGAGGATAGGAGGGCACTTGGCCATGCTCAGAGCAAATTCCTTCTCAAGGGAACAGTGTGTGTTTATCCAGCCCAGAAAATCCAGCCCCAGCAATGCGTGTAAGGATGATTTTACATGGTTGTGGGTGTTTTAGGAGTCAGGGTTAGTATCAGTTTTCCTGGCCCCTTTCCCACTCACCCTCTTCCCTACAGAGCCTGCACACAGCACCCTCTGAGACCTCCCTTCTCACGGGGATCTGTCAGGCACCGTGGGTCAGACGGGGTCAACAAGTGTCACAAGGAAAGGAAAATCCTGACCTAATCACAGCCTTACCTGAGAGGCTGAAGTGTCCCCCAAAAGATGGTTCTTTGGGTCTGGACATGCATGGGGAAAGGCCAGATCCAGCGATAGGAGACTTTGAGAGCAACCATCACCTGGGCGTTGCTGCCCAGATTCAGGCAGATTCAGGCACAGCCACCAAACAGCGGTGCTTCTGCAGGGAGAAGATCTCTAAACTAGATCTGTGTAGCACATCGCTCGTGCAGAGGGATGGAGGAGAGGCCACAGGGGGCCGAATCCTGACTCTGGAGTAGTCTGCTTGGGGGAAGAACTGCATCAGCACTACGGTGCTGCCAGGAGAGCCCTGTCCCTGGTGGCCTGAGAGATGGGAGAGGGTCAACGGGCAGTCCCTACACACCACGGTCCAGGCAGACCTTCCTGTTCATTAAAGCATCCTACATGTGCCAGAGGCCACTGGGCCCAGCAGTGCGGCCTGCCAGCGTGCTGATGCTCTGACTATCCACAGGCAAGAGCAGGCAGGAGCTCTGAAGCCTGTTCCCCTTCTGCTTTCTACCAGCACAGCTCTCTGAGTCATGGTCTCCCCTCTGCTGCTTGCGGAGAGATTGCAGCATCAGGTGATGGGCAGAGGAGAGCGGCTGCCAGAGAGGTTCACTGGAAGCTTTCTGTACAAGGGAGACTCAGGCAGAATTATTGCAAAGGGGAATTGTCCCTCCCGGGTGCTCTGCAGCCGGCCCAGGCACTTTCTCTCCCCTTCAGCTGACAACCCCTGGATTTGTTAACTCTCTCATGAGAGCCAGAAGCCTTTGTCAGGGTATTTCGCAATTTCTTTTGCTGGGCTTTTCTTGGTGACCCCTCTGTCTTCTTTCTCCTCGCTCTCTGCATTTCAGCAGCTCAGAGAAGGAAGGTTGGCAAGAGCAGTTCAGTTCCTAGCCCTGGATTTAACTCTCCTCAAGGAAGCAAACATTGTCCCCAGCTGCATTTTGCTGCAAGGAACTGACTCCAGACTTTGCCCCAGAACATGCCCAGGAGGCTGGGGACTCTGGGGTTAGACCTGGGCACGCTCCTCTTCTGCACATCACTCAGAGTCAGCTGGAGCAGGGGGAAATCAGATGAGAGTCTCCTTTTTGAGGGGCTCAGCAGTTGGTTTTCCACACCTCCAGAAAGCTCAGGACCTGAATGAACTCAGACCCCGAGGACAGCACAAGGCTAGCGAGCTCAGCAGGAAGCACAGAAATACCTTTTCCACTGCACTAAGCTATTTCTGATCTCATTTTCCACACTTGCAACCACTGAAACGATTGCTGGAGCAGCAGAACAGCTGTCCCAAGCCAGCCCAAAGACTCAGCTGGCCTTGGGTCTTGGGTGTTCATCTAGGAAAATTAGATAAGAAACAGATGAAGTAAATGGCATTCCCTCCCTTTCATTCCCCTGTGTGTCAGAGTTTAGCAGGCCTCTTTTCCAAACAGCCAAGCCTCCACCCTTTGAGTCTCTCCTTGTCACATCCCCGAGCACCCTGCCCTGGATTTGCTTTATCTTGGCAATGAACTTTTCGAGCAAGAGATACTCAGGGTAGGATCTCCGAACGCACCTCTGCACACACTAGCACTGACATTGAAACATAGACACACGTGCATGCACAAGTAGGGACACAGTGGGGCACCGCGGTGACAGCAGGAACCCCCTCCCAGCTCTATTCCATGGATGAACCTGTCCTCCTACCAGCTCCTGCACGGATTTGTGGGCTGGCCCCAGCAGGGAAGAGAGCAGGTCCCCTCCATATCAACTGTCCCAAAGCCTCTGGGTACATTCAGGAGTTATCAGGTTCCTCCTGGCTTGGGAGAAACTGGTGTCTTACAACCAGGATGTGCAAAAACATGGCGAAGCACCGAATAAGAAGGAAAGTTTCTACAGCAGCGATAATAACTAACATCTAAACTGCTTTCACAGCAATGGTGTGCTGGTTTTTTTCTTTAGCCCTTTGCACTTCTGAATCTTGATAATGTACTTTGCAAGGAACGGGCCAAACTTCAGGTGATTGCCAATGCTGAGCTATGGCTTTCCTGAGTAACGTGGGGCAGCTCTGCAACGCTCACTGTATATACTAGATTTCCTCCCTAACCACTCCATAAATGCAATAGTCCAGACTCCCCTCTCTCATTCATCCATATCGGTAACTCCTGTGAAGCAGGAGGTATTTCACCAGAATCAGGATAAAAGAGGGGAGAGCCAGGATGTCTCCTATTAAGACCGAATAAAACCACTGAGTAAAGAGCCTCATGATCTGAATCCTTTGAAAACAAACTCCTTCTGGGGGGAGCCCAGCTTCCAGGCCAAGACCTGGCACCCCAACCTGGTTGGTGGCTTCGGGAATCCTTTCTGAGATAAATCCCTATGCAGAAGTGAAGAGCCAGAAAGCTTTTCACGTTAGTGTTGCTCCTTGTGATGGTCAGATGTTGTGGTTATCTGCCATGGCACGAAAAATTAGCAAAAGGGGCCAGGGATATCGTGGGTATCATGACATCTACAGCCAGCGCATCAGATGCTCTCGTTTGTCATTCCCACTGGAAACTAATCTTGGAGACTCTCTCCAGCAAGGTCTGTGTTCAAGAAACCCCATCTCTCTCT